AAAATTTCGGCAAATAAAAAGAGCTTTCTTTCAGGAAAAAAAAAAAAAAAAAAAAAAAAAAAAGAACTGAAGTATTCGATCAAACGACGGACAAAGGACGCTGGAAACGACATTTTCGAAATATTTGCGCGCATTATGACCGCGTGCCAATTTGAACGGCATCGTTGGAATGTAGAAATATTGGTTCCTGCGTGAACGGAAATTTGACCATCCTTTGTCGAAGCGGCAAGTATTTAACAGCCACGATGGATACTGACACAGTCGTACTCGACACAGTTTCTTTTTTTTAGATTATTTTCTTTAGTTTCTTTCTTTTTTTTTTTAGATTCTTTAGAAATTTCTCTCTCTACTTTTATTTCATAACACTTTACTGGATTAGATTCGTTGGATTCTTCTTACGTGGCTAAAATTGAGGATTTGATTTCAGTATTTGATTCGATCTTGGTGTCATCGCGCAACATTGTCTAGAATAGACTTAACTAGTAGGCTAACTGGCGGCCCGCGACCCCTACTTTCCTGATCGCTAGAGTACTACCCCCTCCACTTGCTTAGCAGATTGAGAGAGTGGGGGTTAAGGAAATTTCAATGGAAGTGGAGGGGGTAGCGCTAGCGGGCCGCCAGTTAGCCAGCTCTGCGACTTGATGTATAATGGCTGCCATTAAATATTCAGGCACTAAATATTTTAAACTGTTGAAAAAGATATTATACAAGAATAAACCAGGACTCATTTTATAGCTTGAAGTTTCTGTTTTCAACGTGTGTCGTTTTATTTTATACCAAGATGCTTTTATACCATGCAACAGACACTTTTCTCATCGAAAACTATTGCTATAAATTGTTACGATATGTAAAAACATTGAACAGTCGACTTGATGTATAGTGGCTGCCATTAAATATTCAGGCACTAAATATTTTAAACTGTTGAAAAAGATATTGTACAAGAATAAACCAGGACTCATTTTATAGCTTGAAGTTTCTATTTTCAACGCGTGTCGTTTTATTTTATACCAAGATGCTTTTATACCATGCAACAGACACTTTTCTCATCGAAAACTATTGCTATAAATTGTTACGATATGTAAAAACATTGAACAGTCGACTTGATGTATAGTGGCTGCCATTAAATATTCAGGCACTAAATATTTTAAACTGTTGAAAAAGATATTGTACAAGAATAAACCA